TAAACCCAGCTCCTTCAGCCAGACAGACATTAGGCCAAAGGCTCAGAGAAAAGGTCTGAAGCCAGCTCTGCCCCCGACAAGCGCCACGGTTCTGGGACAGTGACATCACCTCTCTGGGGCTCAGTTTTCTCATCTGCAGAATGGGAAGATCATTCTGGCAACCACTGTTACTGTGCACTCACCACGTGTCAGGCACAATCCATCCCCACCTGCTCGCCAAGCACCTGCTGCCTCCTGGCCCAGCCGTGACAGAAAAGATCCAGAAAGAGGAGTTTGTACTCCAAGAGGGAGACAGACAGTAAACAAGATAAACAAATAGAATCTATTTGGCAGATAACATTAAGTTCTACAGAGACAAATAAAGCAGGAGAGAGAATGTGGGGCAAAGGATTCGGCAATGTCACCGTGGAAGTCAGGGAGGCTCAGGGAGAAGCTGGCATCTGGGCAAGTCCGGAAGATGCTGAGGGAAGGGCTGCGCGGAGCTTGGGGAAGAGCGGTCAAGGCAACGGGAATGGCATGTGCAAGGGCCCTGAGGTAGGAGCGGGCCTGGTCTGCTGGAGACACAGCAAGGAGGGCAGGTGGGTGGCCAGGGGATGGGGCAAGTGCTGGTGCTCAGGCCAGACCATACAGGGCCCTGTGGCCCTGGCGAGGAGTCTGGCCGGAACCAAGGGAGGGCCCGACACCAGAGCACTAACCAAGCACAGAGCAGGTGCTCACACAACAGCGGCTGGGGTGGCCCTGGCAGAAACCACCACTGCATAAGCTTTATTTTGTATTCCCCGGCCCTCCTCCAAGCCCGAGTCCTTCAAAGAGGTCCAGCCCACAGGTGAGGGGAGGAGGAGGTGGCTTCAGCTGCCCCAGGAGATGGGAGTGCTCAGGCCAGGCAGGCGGGGTCAGGCAAGATCCAGGAAGCTGTGCCCGCCAACTTGAGCGACAACACTAATGCACAGTCCGGGTAGAACTGCTCCCCAGGACAGCTGAGGAAGGGGTCCCAATGCCTCTCTGGCCATGCGCATGGAACCATATCCAGCGCTGCAGGGCTGAAGGCTAACTGGGGCTAGGCAGGGGACCCCAAGGTCCCCACAGCCTCACACTGTCACTTCAGCAGCCTGGCGGCAGGTCTTGGGCTTTGGAGCACCAGTGGGGGTGGGGAGTGGAGGGGGATATGGAAAGGACACCAGGAAGCAGGATGCCTGCATCTGGGCCACCACTGCAGCAAATTGCCACCCCTCAGGGCCCATTCTCCACACGGCCAAGGGAAGCTCGGATGGACGTGACAGCTCCCCGAGGCTCCAGCACTACGAATGCTCACCCCTCCTTCTCGGCCCCCTTTCCACACACCCATTCCTGTTGAGACCAGGCCCTGCCCACCTCCGCCTCCTGGAGGCACACGCCAAGGCTCAGGTTTCCACTGCCCCATCCTGGGCACTCTCGGGAGCCTCCCTGTTCGCTTGGGGCTTTGGTCCCACTTCACAGATGATAAACTGAGGCCAGGAGAAGTGACTCAGTCCCAGTGGCACCCCCTGCCTCTCTCGCCCCACTCATGTGCCCTCCAGTCTCCTCCCAGACAGTGATGTCCTCAAGGGCAGGGGCCAGGTTTCCACTCATGCAAACCCATTTATTGAGCACTTTTGGGAGCTGCACACTGTACCAGGGGCCGACGCCGAGCAGTGGGGCCCGGGGTCTCCAGCCCCAGTGCTCACGGCCCGTACAGCTCCTACCAGTACATGGAGACAGGAGCTGCCACTGAGGTCCCCGTGGCCAGAGGAAGCACAGACTCATCGAGCATTTGCTAAGCACCTACTGCATGCCAGGCCTTCTCTAGGTCCTAGGGCTGCAGCTCCCTAGGAGTGGGGATGGCAGGCAGCCCCAGGGCCTTGTGGGACCTGCCTGAGAGGCAGGGGGTTGAAGCCAGGCTGGCACGAGTGCCCCCAGACAAGGTGTCATGGAACCAGGAAAGATGCAGTTCTGCCCCCAGGAGAGCATGCGCAGGCCAGTCCCTCCAGCACCTCCAGCCCCGTCTACACAATGGAGCCATCGCCACCCTCCACACTGGCAGGCCATTAGGAAATTAAGTGAACTGGCAGAGTGCCGAGCCTGGGCCAGTGCCCAGCAGGGCCTCCAGTCCTGCCCTGGGCCCAGCTCCTCTGGAAAACCCACCTGCCCCCACCCAGCCCCCAGACCGCACCCCCACAGCGCCTCTGAAGACACCAGCCATCCGTACACGGCCCAGTTTCAGGCCAGCTCTCTTTCATCTTCGGCCTGTCCCTGCTGCCGGCCCCATCACACTGCCAATTCCCCAAGCAGCCATCCCGTGTGGCTGAGCCATATCCACCACACCTTCCCCATGGCTGGCCTGGCCTCCACCTTTCCTGCTGCCCAGAAGCTGCCCCACCTAGCAGCTCCTCCATGCCAGCCCGTGGCAGGGCTCCAGCAGCAGGCCCAGGGGAGGGCAGGTGTGCCCACATCGTTCACAATGGAGCCCTGGCCAGGGCCCAGCCACAAGCACCAGCTGCACCTGTCAGAGGAAGGGCCGGCTCACAGCCATGCCTGGGAGCAGGGGGGCTGAGGGTGGCGCCGTCGGTGGGCACCAAGGGTATCCCAGCAGTCTTGCCTGGGGGCCTGGCAAGGGCCACAGAGGTTGCCAGGAGTGACGATGCAGTCACTTCTGTCACAGCCACATGCCAAGACTTCTTCCAGGTGCCATGCTTGGTGCTGCCAACTGTGGCCCAGAGCACTGGAGGCCGGGCCAGGCCAGAGGAGACTGCCCACGGCAGCACTGGCCCCAGTGCCGCATCGCTCCAGGGTGCTGCTGGGGCTGTTACTGTTATTGCTATCGTCACTGCTATCATTATTATTTCACGGCCTCAGGGCAAGCCAGCGTTACCTTGTCCTGCTTCAGGCAGACGTCTGCTGGGGAGGACACCATGGCCTGGGGCAGGAACACTGGCAGGGGCAGTCCCCTGGCCTGGGGAGAGCTACATGAAGGCTTCTGTTCAAACCCAACTCGCTTCGTGGCTTTGGGCAAAACCCTCTCTGGGCACCTCTCAGCGCAGCCGAGGCACATACCCGGAGGGGTCCCTATGGGGGTCTGATGTGGGAGTTGCCATGGGAGGGTCCTGAGATGGACTCCCAGCCCAGGCCATGGTCCCACCCCAAGAGAAGGCTCATCCCCTCAGCACTGAGCAAGGTGCTCAGCCAAGCCCTCATCCAGGGAGGGGAATGAAGGGCCAGTCAGGGACTTGAAGCTCATACCTGCCAGGTCTGCATCAACACCCAGCATTTACAGAGCACCTGCTGTGTGCACACAGCAGTGCTCCAGTGGAGAAGACGTACCTTCCCTGTAGCCCAGCACATTGGAGCCACCCTCCTTGTCCCCAGGTGTGCTCAAGCCAGCCCCCCCTCACTTTCTGCTCTCTCAAGGGGCCTGGCCCCACTGAACAGGAGCCCTCCCATGGTCCCCCTCTTGGAGTGGCCAACCCTCAGGTCCCCTGGCTGGTTGGAGGGGCCACCAGAAAACTGAGGGGCAGACTTTGCTGAAGACTCTCTTAGGGAGTCCCCAGCAGACACTGAGGCTGTCCCAGAACACAGGAGGGAGTACAAATCAAAAAGACCGTAAGCCTCTGGTGGTGCCCAGGGCTGAGATCTAGCTCCCCTCCCTGACCCTCTGCCCCAGCACGGGCGGTCCAGGAAGGAGCTGCGCGTGGAGCCGCACCTGCCACCTAGCAAAGTTGGGGCTGGGGTCCAAGAGGGCAGACAGGGGCTGCATTCCTCTGGCACCTGGGGGTAGGGGGTTGAAAGGCAGGCTAACACCTCCTGGGTTGCACCTTTGAGGAGGCGGCTGCTGATTTCGGAGGCGTGTAGGCGCCTCGGCACTCTTGGGAGACAAAGCTTGCGAACCCGGGCTGGGGATGCGCACGCGGGGAGCAGGAGGTCCCCAGCGCTTTATTGTAGGACTCCAGCCTGGGCACAAGGGAGCGAAGAAGAAACTAGAAATAGCCACAGGCAGCGCTGCACTCCAGCATGGGTATGCCCCTTGGGGCACCGGGAGAAGGCAAGTCCAGACTGTGGGGAGGCAGGAGAACCCCCCAGAACGGAAGGCTATCCTCAAAGAAACACTTTCCTGTGACCGCCATTCCCAACGCAGGTTTTAAGATATTCACATGACATGTGTACGCTGGATCAGAACTCAGGCACAGACACCAGCTCGGGCCTCAACTCTCATCTGGACACCCCCCCAGGAGCTCCCCACCCCAGCTGCCATTTCTCAGGAGCCCCAGATTCCCGCCCTGCTCCCCCAGGACATTCAGAGCCGAGCAGGACATTCAGAGCAGATGTGCGCGCACAGCGGGGACCCAGGCCCTGAAACCCCAGAAGCTTCTCCCTCGAGGAGCCATCCCCCTGGAGATGAAGGCCGACTTCTAAAAGCAAAAAGGAGCCGCTGGACTTGTAGGCTGGCTCGCTGGCAGAGAACCATTTCCAGAATATTTTTACTCCATTGGAGCATGGGAGATGAGAAAGAGAAAAGAATTAAAGGACCCGCAGGTCTCGGGTCGGGGGCATTCTCCGGGCTGCCCTATAGCCCGCGCGCCCCACTCCGTACCCCCACTTTGTTCGCTGGGTCTCCGGGAAGGTCACGCGTAGGACCCATGCCGCGCGCGAAAGTGCCTCCGCACGCTCCCTCCCGAGCCCCTCGTGCAAACCGGCCAGGGGGTGCCGAGGGCTCCTCAAAGTTTCCCAGAGCGCCCCCCGGGACGAAGGTTAGCCAGGAGCAAAGTTCCCTGGTGGCGGCGGCAGGAGACATAGCAGGGGAAGAAAAGCTCGCAGTCAGCATTTCCTCCGATGGCTCACCAAGGGAGGAAAAATGAAAACACCCTCCCGCCCCACCTTCCCTGTTGCTGCACCACCCGGTGCTCGCCCCGGGCCAGGGGGCCGGGGGCGGCCAGTAGGGAAGTGGGCCGGGCCCCCGGGGGTCCGTGCGCCCGCGGCCGCGCACTTACCTCGGTCAGCAGCCGGGGCGCGGCGCGCTCCGTGTCCTCCGAGCTCCGGGCGGCCGCTCCTGGCCGCGGCAGCCGCCGCGCTGGCTGCATCGCCGCCGCTGCCGCCACCGCCTCAGGGCAGCCCCCGTGGGCACTCCATGCCGAGGGGGGCGTCGGTCCCGGGCGCGGATCGCCCGGGTCCAGCCACCGGTCGGGAGCGCGCGCCTGGACGGCGCCCCCGGCCGCTCGGTCGGGCCGGGGCCGCTGGCGTCCGTCCCTCAGTCGGCTGTGAGCGTGGCCGGTCCACCCCCTCCCCCTCCCCCTCCGGCTGCTATCTGATCTCGGGCAGGGCCCGGCGCGCTCCCCTACGCCCCGGCGCCCCGCACCTCCCCGCGGGCTCGGGCCGCGCCAGTCCCCTCCCCCGGCTACCGTTCCCAGGGAGGCGGCAGCGGCGGCGGCGTGGCCGGGAGAAGAGGGGGAACGAGGAATGGAGGGCGAGGAGGCGGCGGGAGGCGGCGGGAGGCAGCAGCTCGGCGCGCACCCAGCTCCGCGCCCCGCTGCCACCGGAGCCCAGCTCGGCAACTCCTCTAACTCTCCACCTAGAGCACGCCCGCCCCGCGCCGCACCGCCACTGCCCCCGCCTACCACGGCCCTGGCCTGGCCCCGCGCCCCTCCTAGCCCTGGGCCGCCCCTCACACACACCGCCAGCCACTTGCGCACCGGGACGCGCGCGCGCGCGCGCACACACATATACACACACACCCCACACACACACCCCACACATACACACACACACACAGGCACGTCCTCCCGGAGACACGCGCGCACACACAGGTGCCTGGCTAGCACACACACAGGCAAGGGAATCTTGAACACGGGTGCACACAGTTGGATACGCAGGCTCAGGCTCCCCATCCAGACATGCAAAATACATGCGCTGATACGCATGGTGGTCGCAGGTGTATATACATTCACATGTGCGCATGCAGGGTGGTATCTGCACATGTGTAGACAATATAAGCTAGTGCATTCCCAGGCACGCACACTGGTGTACACACGTCATCCCCCCAGCATCCCTTTCCTTGTGCTGCTGGGCTCCTGCTTTCTCCTCTGTGCTCCTCCCTCTCTGCCAACTTGACCCCCAGGTGACCCTCTTCTTTTGCCCACCCCTGTCTCTGGAGGCTCAGGCTTTCTCCCCAGCCTGTCGCCACCCACCCTGCCCTCCCAGCCTCCTGGGGCCTATCGTCTGGGCCTCATATCTTCTGCCTCTTGCAAGGCCCAGGCCTTTCATCCTGGCAGACAGACCTGCCCGGCTGGGCCCTAACCCAGGGAACCCCATTTTATCGCTGGCCTGATCCCTAGCTCAGCTCTGGGGCCACAGAATTGGGCCGAAGAGGCAGGTCTGTGCCCAGAGCATAAGCCTCAAAGGGCTCCCTGGCCCCCTCGGCCTCCAGCTTCCCCTTTAATGTGAAATATAATTATGTGTCTGCACAGCCGGGAGACTGGCTGCAGGATTCTAACCAAGGAGGATGGCTCTCTGGCCAGCGCCCAGATTGCTGGCAGCTCAGAGCAGAGCGATCTGCAGGCCCCACCAGCCACAGGCTCTGGGCCCTAGGCAGCTGGCAGGCACAGTCCAGCCCAGCACTCACCGACCTCAGGCTGTCCTACCTCCTCTACTGACCAGCTGTGGAGATGGGTCACTTCACCACTTGGTGCCTCAGTTTCCCCATCACCAGTGGAACTCACTAAACTCATTGGGCTGTACTGAGGATTAAATGAGATGACTATACCTAAAGTGTTTAGCACAGCTCCTGGTTGAGTAAAACAGCTAACATTTACTGAGCACTCAGTACATGCTGGGCTCTGTGCCAATGACCCAGCTAGAATTATGTCGTTAACCCTAGGACCCTCCGGGGTACATAAGCTCGTTGGCCCTATTTTACAGATAGAGGGACTGAGGCACAGAGAGGGCTGGTCCCTTGCCTAGTCACAGAGCTACTGAATGATGGATCCAGAGCTCAAAACCAGGTATGTCCCCAAGATGACAGCCCTGCCTCCCTGCCTGACAGTTGCTTAGAGCCGAAGTGGAGAGCCAAGGGAACTCCCAGGGGACTCCAGCCTCTACTTGCCCCGCCTGGCACACATTGTCCTGGTTTCTTCCTCCTCCTCCTCCTGGGAGACCAGCCTCCCAGGGGACCAAAAGCTCTCAGGAAACTTTTCCTCCTCTGTCCAAGTGACCAAGGAGGGAAATGACTCAGCTCCTCACTGGCCCCTGCCCCATTTCCCAGAAGACAGGGAAGCCAAAGCCAGTGGCAAAGGAAGCAGCACCTGGTTCCTCTCCCCCGTCTCAGAGCCTGCTCAGCTGTCCCAGGAGGCCCCACCTGGGTGCCCAAAGGAGCCAGTGGCATCTCTTCAGCTGGGGGACAAGGGAATGCACAGGAAATATCTCAAGGCTCCACCAGGATCCTGACAGCTCCTGGGACAAGGGGGTGAGCCCAGGGCATCCTCGAGCCTGGAACGTCCATCAAGCGAGCCCCACCCCTCTGCTCGCCAAGACAGCCAGTGCAAGGCAGACTAAGTCTGCTCCCTGGGCCCAGCCTCCCCCAGAGCTGTCATCAGACCCACTCCACAGAGACAGCAGGTGTATTACCCAAGGTCACCCAGCAGAGGTCCCAGCGGAGAAGCAAGCCTGACTCCCTGGGCCACTGTCCTTCAGGCTCCACATCCCACCCTCCCAACACACTTGCATGCTGGGGATTCAATTCCTAATCGGAACCACACCCGGTGCCTCCATGCGCCGCCCTCACCAGGAACACGCCCCTGCTCCAGCTGCCGGTCGAGGTACAGTAGAGAGGTGACATGGTGGGTCTCTCTCTAGCCAGCTCACACATCCGCCCCAGAGCTCCCTGTGTGGGCAGAGGGGCTCACGGCCCCCCTGGGGTGCCACCTACAGCCAGAAGGGGACATGGCACCTCCCTCCAGTGTTGAGGGGCAGTGTTGAGGGGAGTGGCCCAGTGGGACCAAACAGACCAAGCCCCAGCACTGCCCCTCCCCGGCAGGGGGACCTCGGACGCATCCCTCACTGAGGCTCCACTTCTCTGTACAATGGGGGCGATGACAGCCACAGCCACGAGACAGCCACGCCCCTCGCAGGGCCGTGGGAGAAGGCATGAGAGGAACAGGAGTTAGGCGTCCTGCTGCGCCCGCACCTTCCTGACACCTCATCCTGTGCCCTGCACCTGCTTTCCCTTAATCTGAAATTCTCCGTTTCTTCCCCTCCAGAGTGGGAGCTTCCCCAAGACAAGGATGAGACAGAGGTTTGTCTGGGGCCTAGTCCCTCCCAGCTTTGGGCTGGGCACACAGTCACTGTTCGAGGGACATTTGCAGATCTGAGAGTCCTCAGACCCACAGGCCAGGGAGGCCAGGGAGCCCTCGGTTCATTCGGAATCTCAGAATCTCCCTTCGTTTTGGGAAGAGCAAGGCCCAGAGTGGCAAGTTTGCTTCCAAGACCACAAAGCTGTCCAAGGAGGGTGCCTGTGCCCCAAAGGCCAGGATTCGCTGGTCCAGTGGACAGGAGGCTCAGAGCTGCGGCCTCTCTACACAGCAGCTGCTGCTCTCGTAGTAATCACGTCTTAATATCACGGCGCTGCTGTGCGCGCTGCAAGCATAAATCAGGCATTGGTTAAGACATGAAAACCAGACGCCATCTCCGGGGTCTTTGCCCAGGAGGCTGTCCCAGTTCTCCCCACACTCCGCCCAGCATCTCATCCCCTCCGGAATGCCTCCTCCTGAGAGCCTGCTGGGATTTCCCTGCACCCTAGACCTTGGCCCAACTTCCCCCCTCAGAGCCTCCCACTCTGACAATGTAAAATGGGCCCACCTGGGGGTGACAGCCAAAGTCCCTGAGGCCCCAGCCCCACCCCAGCAGCACCCCCTCCCAGATACACTGACTGGCCATCCAGGCCCTTGGACCTCAGTGCAGGCTGAGCCCTCAGTTGGGAGCACTGTCTGCCGAGCTGCTCTTCCTTCAAGGGCCGCTGAGATGGACCCTCGGGAAGAGGTCTGCCTCGACCCCCAGGACTCACGTCCCAAGCCCTGTTTTGCTTTCTTCCAAAGCTGGCCACTCTCTGAGGTGTCTGGTTCACTGTCGCCTCCCCTGCCGGTGTCTGCTCTGTGAGGGAAGCCCCAGGGCCCAGCACCGTGGGAGTGCAGTGAACATCTGCAGAATGAGAACGGACAGACACAGGCAGACGGTCTCACCCATGGGGGCATTCTCCTGCCCGGCTCTGCTCAGCTCTTACAGGCACACCCAACTCCACTCGTACCGTCACAGAGCTGCGCCAGCCCGTGCAGCCATAGGCCATCTGGCAGCACAAGCCTTGCCTCCTCCTCCAGGCAGGTGGCCAGGGTCCAGGCTCACCCTGCCTCTCATCCCCACCCCTGTAAGACAGGCCTGGCTGTGAGCATTACAGCGATTGGCTGAGGGATGGGCATGTGATCTAAGCCAGCCTATGAGAATCAGCCCTAGGACTTTTGCTGGATCTGTAGTAAAAGCAGGGGCTCTATTTCCCAGGGCAGCTGGGCTGGCAGGAGGAACCACCAGGGACACCTTTGCCCTCACATGGGGCAAGCCCACCTCGAATGAGACCCACCCAGAGGAAAGCAGAGCTGAGATATTGAGGGAAGTAAGATTTTGGAGAGATCCTTTGAGTTCCTAAGATCCACCCCTGGACTTTTGATTGTAGCCAAAACCATCCCTTTTATAATTTAAGAAATTTCCGATGGCCTCAAGGGGCTACTGACAAAGGCTGCAGGTGTCAGAAGACCAGCAAGGCCTCCAAATGTCCCGCAAACTTTCGGAATCTCTTTCCTCCTTTAAAGCGGGGCATGAGAGAGCCCTGCCTGGCAGAGCCCCATGGGGATCACACTCCATGGTACATCCCTCCCTTCCTCTAAAGAGACAGAGCTTCCAGGAAGGCGGGCCAGGCCTGCAGGAATAAAGGGCAATAAAGAGGGAGGGAAGGAGCTGCAGTGTTGCTCACAGTTAAAAATAGCTTTCCCCCAAGAAGGCCTCCCCTCTGGGATAATCCGGCCAATTATCAGCCCGTCCTCACCCCCTGGGCACCGCCTGCCTCATCCCTGTGCCACCCTCCTCACTCCTCACTGTCCCCGGGTGAGGCCATCACCCCACCACCTGCCTATGACCCTCCTTCCTGGGCAGGGGCAGGGCTCCAGCCCCTGAGGGCTCCTCTGAATTCGGCCTGACTCTGAAATAGAAAGAGGTCCATCTGTGAGTCCGGACAATGGAGCGTGAGTTGTCCCAGACACACTGCACCCCCCAAACAGAATCAAGTGGCAGCATAAGGTCAACTACAGGTATGTTTGCATCAGCGAAGAGAAAAATCTGGAAGTTTGGAGACAAAACTGTTGATTGTTGTGTCCTCCTGGGAAGGGACCTTTTCCTCATCCACTTCCACGTGGAGGAAGATGTCCAGACCTGCTCCTGGAGTGCTTCTGTTCTCGGCCCACCTGGGGACAACCCCAGCCCTCCAATGGC